CACACTGAATCAGAACTGGCAAACCACCAAGACGCTCAATAGAGCCAATCTCTCGCTCACACGCCAGGCTGTGAATTCCCAGTTTGCTTTGCAGCGACAATGGGGTGTGTGTGCAAGTCTGTGTCTGTGCGTGAGTGCAGATAAAAACGCCACAATCACTGAATGCAGGCACAAGGGCCACCAAACTAAATGCTTGGACGGAGCTGGCATGAGGACCCATGTACACACACATATATATGATTAGGAATGGATATGCTTGCCAAGACAGTTTCCCCTCTGTTCCAGAAGGCACTAAGGTGCTTAAGCACTCAGCCTATATAAATGGAAAGGCAGAGTGTGGCAGAAAGAAGGGGTAGGGTGGGAGGTGAAGAAGACAAAGCAACAAAGCAAGTTGGTCACCAAAATTGCAAAAATTAATTGGTTACACCCATGTGGGCTTTCATTCACACTCAACAATTGCTTGGGTCTAGTTGGAGCAAATTAAGCCAGTTTTAGGTGAAATATCCATCAGTGCAAATATTTCCATTCATTATCACAATCCGTCCTTGTCCTTACTCAATTAATAGCCAGAGTACTGGTTTAATTCCCTGTAGCTCAAGTCTGATATGGCTTCAGTGTGCTTCTTTACAACATTTACGATGTCGGTGCATGCAGTGTGTGCAGAAATGTGCGCAAAATTTGGAAGGTGGTGAGGAAAAGAAGGATTTTTCCAACCTTGTTTCCAAAGAAGGTCACGGCGGCAGCTGGAAATTAGCGCAGCGCTGCACGCACATTAGCGGATATTGTTTCAGCCAGGCCTCAGTTGTAAGGTAATGCCAATCACTGCTCTTACGGTGTATCTGCCCCGGGGCCAAGTAGACCAACCTCCCTCCAGACACACACGCAAGCGCTCACAGATCGCAGTATTTTCATATTTCTTTTTGTGGGCTCGTCATCCTGCGTCAATTAGAATCAGCGCTGTAATAAATGGTGCGTGAAAGGCTTTGATGGTGTAAATATTTTATTTGCACCTTCAGCGCCGTTGTCCGTGTAATCTCGCTGCTGCAGCTTTGACTGGCGTGGAGGAAAGATGCTGGTTAAAATTCTGAGCTAAAACACACGGGGAGAGAAAATGATATTTTTAATGAAACCGTTGTGAAGCATGCTGAATGACAGCATGGTAAATTGACTGTGCTAAATTGGGCTTAACCTGACATATATCAACATGGGATTTATGTCAGGTTTTTTCATTCTCTGCACTTTAATGACTGCTTTCCTGCAGGAAAGCGGAACAAACATTAACAAGAGTAGTATCAGGTAAAGTCTAAAAAAAGCAAAAACCTTGCTTACTAAATTGTATTTGTTTGCTTTCATGTATTGAAAATTGAAACAGTCGAAATATCCATTAATCAAAAGAATCATTTACATTCAGATAAACTCGAGCAGGGGCTACTGCATACATAATCTCAGAGGTGGATGCAGAAAAATGGGGAGAAATTTACTTCATTAGATGAGAATAAAAAGGTCATTGCCTGAGATTGTGGCTAATAAGAATCTCCGTCAGCCAGTGGCTGATGTCAAGACCCTCTGTATTAACCAACAATTCACACTAGTTATTGCTATCAAAGTGTATATAGTCTAATTTTGACATGCATTTATTTAAACAGAACTCATCTTCTGTGAAATTGAAGTTTAATCTAAAAATAATTGTATTCTTACGAACTTTTGATCAGCTCAGTGGAAAGGGTACCTGGAAAGCCAGAAGAGAAGACTAGCTAGTGCATGTCAGATTCTACAGCACCATTAGATTTACCGGATCATGGACGCTCAGGACACACAGATCCAGTCAAAGAAAAGAGCTTGGATCAAATAGCAGAACTCAGAGGGTAAAAAAATTCACATTTGCAACAAGGCTTACTGTGATTTTGGAGTATTGATTTTACGTAGGATTTTAGCCCTGGGAGAGAGGAAGCAGGTGGGGGCAGGTGAGCGGAGACTGGAGAACACAGGTGTGGCTGGTACAGTTAGCCGAGAGCAAAGTGGACAGCGGAGAGGGCAGGTTTTATCCGGTGAGAGTAGAAGGTGGATGGTGGGGTGAGGCAGAGCTGGTGGCTGGAGGAGAAGAAGAAATTGAGATGGAAAAACAGATAGCTTAGAGGTCAAAAAGAGCACAAGGAGAAGAAGACGATAACTTTACAGTTACAGGTGTGGTGTGGTGTAGTGCAGGCCTGAACAATCCAGTAGGGAATGATAAAGAGAGCCAGGGGTTAAATACTGCTAAGTCTTGATGAGCTGATGAATCTCAAGTGTGCCGTTTAATTGGTCAGAGATGCAGGAATGTGGAAACACCTAGATAGAGGGAGCGAGAGAAAGAGGGGGCAACACAAACATTAGGAAACGAGAGAAAGGTCAAACGGAGGCAACAACAACAGCAATGAGAGAGAGAAGCATAGTAACCAGGGGGCTGTGGAGTGATTAAGCATTCAAAATGATTTAAAAAATGATTTGCATTCTACATTCTTGGTGCATGTGTTTCATTTTTATTAACTTCTAATTAGAATTCATCCGATTCTTGTGCCACATGGTATGTACAGTAATTTGAAAGAGTTCTCGGCAGCACTGTTGTGTGGCTGTTAGAACCGTTACCTGAAAGCAAGAAGGTCTTGAGTTTAACTCCAACATCTTTCCATGTGAAGTTTGGATGTTCACTCTGGCTTCCTCCCACAGTCCAAATATATGAAGTTAGTGGAGTTAGGTTAATTGGTGTTTCTAAACTGACCATAGGTATGAGTTGTGTGTCTCTCTGTACTAGCCCCGCCACACTGTGTACTCTATTGGGATAGGCTCAAGCCCCCTGATGGAAGAGAATGGATGGATGGACTTTTAGGAATTGAAAGGGCAAGTAGCTGCCAGGTACACTCAAATCAAATACACTTGATTTAACTGATCATCAGTAAGTGTGAGCACATCTATAAAAGCAGATGATTTTTCAGTTTGCTGGTCTGGAGCTTTCAGGTACGCCTGAATAAAATGCTACAATCTTACCAGGAGTGAATTTCTGAGCATATTCACCCCAACAACAGTCCATGCAAGGCTTGGAAACAACAAAAATACCATAAATACATCTCAGACCCTATGGGCCACAGTTAGCATGTTAAATGTTAAAGTTTGTGGCGGCAAAACTAGAAGATGATTCAAGTACTGTTTATTTGGAAGGGTTGCCATGCTTCTTCTCTCTAAAAAAAACATGGCTGCACAGCTTAAATGTTATTGATACTCTACTGTGTGTGTGTGTGTGTGTATATATATATATATATATATATACATACACACATACATACACACATACATACATATATACACACGTACACATACGTACATACATATACATACATATATACACACACACACACACAGTAGAGTATCAATTATTACACAGATAGAAAGAAAAAAAAAGGTCCTATACTCACTATCAGACACAACAATTTGGGCTGCAAAGGGATGACATACTGTGTAGCAGCATGAAAACAGTGAGCGTATGCTGGCCTCCCACATGCTACCACTTGTACAGTTGAAAATGCAGAGACGTCTTTCTTCTTTCTTCCCCCTGCGGTCTACATATTAATTGTAACTTTTCCTGTAGTAAATCACTGTCAAGCTCTAGAACAAAGACTTAAAGTGTGATCATATAGAATCTTAGATCTCTTAATTTTTTTTTATTTTGGATTAGAAGACCTTAGTTTGATGTACCCCTGAAAACATTTTCTTATGCCGGCCAAACAGCATTTAGATCAATGAACTGAGATGACAAACAAATGAGAGACGACACCGAAAAGTGTGTTAATGTTCAGCCTCCCTTCCATTTGTCTTGCGTCCAAAGTTTCTCCGTTTCAAACCAAGAGGACATCACAGATGACAAATTGACAACAGCTGCAACTGTAAGACAAGAATTCAGAAACCGCCGCTTTTATTAGAAACGACTGAAGTGAATGATGCGAAGTGAATAATGATCTTCTGTGGATGGCTCCCGCCTCAATATTTCACAGTAAGTGATGATCTCCTAAACATAAAGGGTGTCGTTGAATCCATATTTCATTGGAGAACAATGCAGTGTTACTGACATACACAAGCAGGAAATGCGCTTACAAAGCATCAAAAGAACTGTCGCACAGTATGGATGGCTGCAGAATAATATAGGGCACTGCTGGATGGATGTAACAAGCTTCACAGCTACACGCATCATTTGATCACATAATACAAAAGGTAGTGTGTGCGTCCGTGTGTACGACATGCATCATTTGATCAGGTAATACAAAGCTTTGGTGCTTGTGTTTGTGCACAAGTTTGCCTGGCATGCATCATTTGCCTATATACTACAAAGCTGCAATATGCTGTGAGTGTATGTGTGTGCGTGCATGTAATATGCATCAACTAGGGAAGGAAAAAGCCTGAGCGCATGCTTGTATCTGTTTGTCTACAAAATGTGTGACATGCATCATTTACTTAGATAATACAAAGCCTGCGTGTATGTAGGCTACAAGCAGTGGTATATCTAACAAGAGGGCTTTTTGAATAAGAGAGCGATGAGTCCTGTCAGTTCTAAAGCATGCGCGCGCACACACGCACGCACAGAGACGCACACATGCTGACTTTCTGCTAAATTAAGCACAGGACGACCCTACAGACAAGACATCAGACAGCAGAGGCATTTTCTGACACACACAACTTTTGACACAAGCCCATAAACAAGCTAAGTGAGTGACTAGAAATAAATATGCACAAGGCGCGCACACACACACACACAAATACAGACATACTGGTGGAGACACGTCCCAGTGAAGCGCCACATAAATTGGGGCATGCATTATTAACTGTCTGGGGTTTTTAGAGCTTGCGCTGGGACAGCTGTAGGTCCAAACAGCCTGACATTAGAGAGCAACACAGGGAAACTCTATGCATGACAGCAACCGAGCAATCAATAATTCAATGACTCAGTGAATCAATCAACACTTTGGCAGTTTTACTCATGGCAAATGGATTTTATCCTTTATTTAATAATTCTGGATGGTTGGGACAACAACACCCCCAAAAAAATCTAAGTATAGAGAGTTGTATTGGAGGGTAATTACACTGGAATTATAGAAAGGGGGGGAAACTAAACAAACAAAAAAACACAAGCAAGTTTTGGTAAAATCCAGCAGTAGTATGGATATCGGTGCACTTGAGATTTCTGCTGCTATCCAACTATTTGAATTTTATCCACATGTGAATTATGAACCCTATGAATCAATGATGGAGGTGGAATCATTCTCGTTATTTAGATTGGCATGGCAGGAAATCAGCTAGATACCACTGCAAGTCAGCCACACATGCCTAGAGACCAACTGGTAACCCTCTGGGAACTACAGATTGCTTGGGAAAATGTGTATTCCCTGCTGTTTGCAGAGGGTGCTGCACCAAAAACCTCTTTGCTTTGGTTGCTAGCAGATTGATAGTCACCTATAGTTTATCCGGGCATTAGATTGATGTCCGGAACACTCTAGTCGCTGAGCAGCAGTGAAAGTGGGAAAAAGTGTGATGCAAAGTAAAATCTGTGCTTTATTCCTTTAACCAACAGGTTTAAAAGGAGCAACTTTTACAGTTTCACTACTGCTAGGCAAGCAGTTAGAGTGTGTTTGGAGACAAGTTGGTATCTTCCATGGAAACTACAGGTGACAACGGCTGCTTGCTGGTTACTAAAGAAATTACAAGGATGTGCAGGACTGTATACCTCTTTGCAATCAATGTCACTCAGCAACAGCCAGCAACTACTTGGCAACTGGTGGCGGATTTTTCTATCGCAGCCTGTGGTTGCCAGAGGGTTTCTCACCATTCTCTAGACCTGTGTGACGGTGGCCTATTGGAGAATATAGGGAACCTTGTATGCTAGAAGCACACAACTACATCTTGTAAAATGTGTGCGTGGTGACACAATGCGTGTCAATAATAAATGAATCCCAGCTGTAAGAATCGTTCGCCTGGCATCTCTGCCAAATATTCTATGAATTATTGTGGAAAACTCTAAACACAAAGCACTTCTTGAACAATGAAACATAAGGTTAACATTTTAAAACAACACAAATGACATTCATTTTCTGAAAATATGTTCATGTCTCACTTTCAAAAATAAATACTGTGAAATGAAGTTGTACACACTTTAATCAAAGTATAACACAGATCATCACTCAGTTTCACAAAATGAAATAAACCAAGCTTAATCACGGTCCAATTTAAAAGGATGCAGAGTGACAGATCAGACTCTCGTACTGATGGTAAAGCCCTGAATGTATGATCAACTGAATATCTGTGTAACAGCTGCACCAGTAGCCATCAGTAAGAACTAAACAAAACACACTTTTACCTTTTTCCTAAGCAAGAAATGGCTCTACTGTCACTGTCACAAGTAATCAGCACTTAAAAAAATATTCTAAATGAACTCCTAAATCTGGTGAATTATTTGTACCAAAAAGACTGGTATAAAAGGTGTTTGGTGAAGCCGTTTGACCATGCCGATAGACTGCCAAGAGAAGGTATTGACATTACAATAAAAAAGACTGCACACAACAGTCATTGTTCAGTACACTCTCTGTACAATATAAGCCAAGATGACTGCTGCCAGCGCGAGCCCGATCCCAATCTTCTTCAGCATTTCTCTGTCCAGACTATTAGATCCAATGGAGAAGGTGCACGGAGAAGGCGTGGGAGCAGAAACATGGACGCCATTGACCTTTTGTTCCTGTCGGAGGAAAACAAGCAGATTAAAAAGAATCCCAACACAAATCAGAGAGTTAAGAGAGTTTTTTCTGCACCATTTATAACGATTAGTAGTTTAAATGATTTAATTTTAGCATCATCTGTGATATGTGAAAACCCATCTCCTATGCAGACACACAGAGAGCTTGATACTGAGGCGGTTCATATCATGTATATGTATATAATTATGGTGGAATCATCTTTAAAATAAATCAGCTGGCCACAGTCACAAATCAAAGAAGGCTTGACAGCACAGTGAAAAAGATAAAGAAGAGCATTTAAGGACCAAACCCCAGCTGTCTTTGAGTCTATTCCACAACACACAAGCTATTTCTTTGAATATGACACTTCAGCCAACTAAATAATTTAACTGCAGTTACTGGACAGATGTGACGCAAGCCCCAAAAGAAATATCAAAAAATAAAAAAAATAAATCCATTCATAGATCATACATGTTGATTACTGCGTACATTTTGAAATATATCTATGGATGCTGGTATGCTGGCATGATGATAATGACAAGGATTTATCACTTCCTCTGCTTGCTCACTGCTGTCTCTTCCTTACACCTTCTGTCTCTCTCCATCTGTTTCCTCTCTAGAACTCAGTTTCATGTGGAAAGGAAAACAATAATAAAGTCAATTTAAAATGCAGTGCTTGTTTTAATACTTTGCGGATGAAAGCATTCATAAAACTGGCCATTTGCTTATGCAAATGAGTGCATTTCAATTATGATGCTATTATCTCTGTGTAAGCAGTTAATGCAGTTTTGTAGTGATCCAATTACTGCAGAGTGCTGTCTATTGAATGGAGCTGATGTTGAGAAGGTGCACTGTTATGTAGTTAGAGAAGCCTGGATTGACATGAGGAAAGAAGACTGATGTGATGGTGTTATAGCGGCACGGCTGAAGCAAGACTGTGGTAAAAAGACGGTGACTGCATTTGTATTACAGTGAAATGATACTGCTCTGCTACAGCTATCAATTCAGCCTACAATATCAAGATCCTAAAATCAAGAACAAAGCAACTTTCTAAAATCAATAAGAGGAAGCATTAAGCCAAGAATGCTGAAGCAAATGGCTACAGATAGTCTGGTTCTGTTATTTAAGTCTGCAGTGTTCTTCATCAGTGGCACATACAGTGCTGTATAATCAGACAATTGGCAACATGTTAGTAAATTTGATGTTGATAACAATGGTGATATACAATATGGCTCAGACCTCAACACCCTAAACCTCTGGTCAACACAACTACTGCTACACTCAACCTCTGCGAAAACACTTATGATTGCAAGATGACAGCAGAGGTGACCCGGTGGGAGGAAACTTGTCTCCAAACAATCTCAGTCCAATTTGTACCAACTGCAATGAATCTGAGACAGATTGCCAACACGTTGCCATTAGTCTGAGTCAGCCTGCACGGATGAGCCCAACTCGTCACCACATCTCTGCAGCAGTGGACTCGACTTAGCTGGTTGCCAACTGGTTGTATTCCAATTACATTGCTATACAAAAGTAAGGTTGCCAAACAGTTATGTCATTTTGCAGTTAAACTGCTGTCCTGGAGCAATTACGTCACTATTTGTGGCGAATACAAGTACTTAATGTCTGTATATAGACGGCAATAGATTTGCAAGTTTCACCAGTTTAATTAACTATATTATCACAGACAGAATGCAAAGAAATGCCAGCCTGACCACTTTTGAGTGGTCAGACCTGGTCCCTGTTGTTGAAGAAACCATTTCAAAGGTAGCAACAGTGCAAGTTCATTGCACACGACTGCAAAAGTTTTGGTCGTGCTGCAGTCTCCAACTACTGTCTGATTGTAGCATTTCAATATTTTGTGAATGTTCATAAAAGACATTCATCCGTTAGACCAGGGGTGTCAAACTCAAATACAAAGTGGGCCAAAATTCAAAACTGGAACAAGGTCGCGGGCTAACATTAATATTTATTGAAAAAAAAAAATCTTCCTCCAGATTTAAGAATGAATCTCTTCTTATGGACTCAAACAAGTTTTTCTGAAAACTGAATATGGAACAAGCAAAGCTTAATACTAAACAATATACATATTAGCTGTATAATACCAGCAGGCCAGCTCTAATAATAATTTGGTATGGCTTCGCAGGCCAAATTTGGCCTGCGGCCAGAGTTTGACACCTTTACGTTAGACTGATTTCTAATATTTAAATATTTAAATATGTAATATATGTTCAGCGTGCAGTCCTTCATTTACATTTGTTATCTCATTATTTTAGTCAGGTTATCCACTCCTGATTCAAAGCATTTTTTAAAAGTTAGATTTAGCAATTTCCATGTTTGCCATGAAACATTTCAACAATGTACATGATCATGTGACGTTCAAAAATGCAGTTTGTGGCGAGAAAAACATCAAAAACTCGTTTCAGGCCTTGATAGCTGTAATAATTCAGTTAGTAACACTGACTATTAATCACTAGCCCAATTTCTCCCTGGCCTCGACCCACCATCATTGATCACCATTCTGTTTGATTACACATTTATATGATTTTATCGTAATGTATGAGAACGGAGACCTTAGGTGTGATTTGAAGCTAGGCTAATTAATTGATTGATTTATAAATAAATAATCCTTCACGGTGTGGTACTTTTAATTTCAGCCTTAAACAAATTGCAAGAAGAGGAAAACGGGGAGACAATCGATCCAAATGTCCTTGTTCATGTACGTTGCTTTTAAATATGCCATCATCTTCATATTCCACGTCTCTTTAACACGTAATATGTGGTGTTTCCAATTTTCTGTACCTTTCAAGCTTTTGTTTTTAGGCCAACAAAGAAAAATTCCAAAATAAAAAGAGACTACAGAAACTCACACTTCACATACAAACATACTAAGATATTTTTACCCAAGGACTGAAAGCAAAACAATGGCAAACTTTGTTGACTACAAACACCTGCATGTACACTATACATTCATATGAAACTGAGCATCACTGCACGCCTACACGTCTTGCACGCACATGGCTGCGTGAGTGAGCAGCTGCACAGTGTCTTGTCCTCTACCTCTCTATCCTCCGCATTACTCTCGCTCCCCTCTACTTGCTGGAGGTTGTGAATGCTACCTTGCCACCCACTCTTTTCCTGAACACACTGTCATGAATGGGTTCCTCTGTTACGGGCACACAATGGTGAATGGATACTATAACCGACAACGCCTAGGTGACACATCTCTAAGTCGCTTACAGTAACTTCAGACAATGAGTCGAGAGAGAATCTGTAACAGTCGTCTAGCTGACGCATCCACATTCGCTTAATGTTAGGATCACAGCTTGACTCCCTAATGGCAAAGTGATACGCTGTTTTGTTTTTAAAGATGCTTGAAAACAATAAAGGTGCATTCAGGCTCAGTGGCAAGACACGCTTGCCACTGAGCCTCATGACTGTGAGAATTGCATCATGATGGATGAACCTCATTCAGATTTGGATCGCCCATCCACTCTCATCCAGAACATCATATTTATAAAGTTCTTTTCTATGAAGATAAATGCTAAGTATTGTTAGTATGGTAATATAGTATTATTAGGGATAGTAGTGATAGTTTTGCGGTGCATACCACACCGGGCAGAGAGGGAAGCTGATAAGCGTGTATGCCCAAAAAACCCTTATCAATAAAGACCCGTCACCTTGCAACGGCGGGTGCGTGGGTCATCCTCCTGTCACGGATAGGTTTTAAAAGAAAAGACATGGCAGATGAGGAAAAAGTTACAAGACAAAGTAAATATTTAATCACCACTGTGACAAAAGAAGAAGTTTATAAAGCGTAAAGGACTAATGCAAGAGAAATAAATATGCGTTGGGCCAAGTCCACCACCTTCTTCTCTATGCTTCTATTTATCTGTCTCTCTGCAGGTGTCTTTTAACAATGGGGTGCCAGAAGAGACACTGAACACTACAGTCGAAAATCTATTACTAGTAAGAGGGATAAGTGAAAATCCAAGTGCCAGTAGGTGCGTGTCAGCACAGTAGGAAGCAGCGGAGCAGAAGAGCAGAGAGGAGAGAAGGAAAAACTGAGAAGAAATGAGAAGCACAAGAAAGGGAGCCCCCCCCCAAAAAAAGAGATGTGGCTTTCAGTGATAGTTTACCACCTGCTAGCTGGCATGCTGAGTTTGTGCATTTCTGTGAGAAAGACAGCTGGCATTTGTGAGTGAGTGTGTGTGTACATGTGGAGACCTGTGGTAGATAATGTCTGTCTCTCTGCTCACAGCAGTAAAACACAGCAAAATAATCCCCCTGAAAATCATCTAACACTACACCAGGAGTACAGACTGGCTAGCACAGCTAGATACTTTTCCCTCAAGGTCTAAGGCTTTTCAAATGTCTGTTTCTTGGAGAAAAAGAAAGAGAGAGCGAGCGGGGGAAAAAAAAAAAACAGAAAACGAAAACTCTTGCTCCAGTTCCACATATGCACCTTTTTTAAAACAAAATCTGCCTGCGCGTCTGCTGCAGCCTTTGCCAATACACTGACATATTCGCACAAAAACACACACTGTGAAATGCACAACACATCACGAGAGCCAGGAAGCACAGTGCACAATGGTCACATTTCTCACATGATCCTCACCAGCTGTCAGTGTCACTCTAGACACACACAGACCATGGAAGTTGGTGCGTGCGCGTATAAACAGATACTGTAACAGGCTCCTTAGTCACGGCTGATTCAACAAAGCCATAATGACAATCACAGTGTGCTGTAGCTGTATTTACAACAGGAAATAGGGACAGTCGGGGGAAAAAGGAGGAATTGCAAATTTTTCTTTTTCTCACCAAAAGGTCATTAACCTAAAACCAAAGATGGAAAGAGTGATTTCCATCACTAATGTATGAAAGTCTAGCAAAGCTAGAGCACTAACAGCTATGCTCCTGAGGGCTGGAAGTGTAGTGTAACCCTCCTGCCTTTGCCAAGCTCCCAACCCCAGGGGAAACCGTAGTTCTTACTAAAAAAATG